AATTACTATTACTAACTTTATTTTATGTTTCGTACAATTATTTATGATAAATAAAAAGGATTACCTGGAATTACCTTTCAATAAAATTATAATTTTTCCGTCAACTTTCTTCCACCATGCGGGATCAGGGTAGCGATCATGTAACTTTTTCCCTAGAGCGGAAACGTGAAAAGTGAAAAATTTCATGTAACTATTTCTTTCTATTGGTATTGAATAGAAAGAGATAAACTTTTCACTTTTCACGTTCCGTCCTAGGGGAAAAGATACATGATCGATCCCCAGTGCTGTGCTGCTGTGAGACAAGGATCACTGATCCGGATTAGTCTGGGGAAATTTAGAAGTCTAGCGGTTGAGTGCCACTGCTCAGTCCGATCAGCGATCCGATTAGTTATCGTAAACACCCTCTGCTCTCTTTACAACTGACTGAATTTTCACCGCATAACCATGTTACGTATATTTGGCGCCACAAACCCTAAATGCGTCCTTAGCTGCCACTTCCATCTGGCAGTAAGTTTCAACGATTTGCTTCAATTCCGAAAGATGTTTAACCCTTAAAGTGTATACGTTTTTTTTTGTACCTTCTAAGTGTGTACATGGGTCTGTCACATTCAACGTTATTTTTCCCTATCTTAAAGTATTTTAAAAAATCTAAAAAAATTCATGAAACATCTGTCTACATTGTAGTTGACGATTTTATAGTCATTTTGATAAACATCGTTTATTTAATTCTAACAGGCTTGCAAGTTTTACAGTTGCGAGCATATATCACTTTAGCTCGGATGTTGTAGACCCACGTATATACGTTACGGGTTAAGCACAAACATTTCTATCTAGTACTCAAACCCTATTTATTCGTCTCAATATTTAATTGCGCAAATAATTGCGTCTGAAACAATTCTGACGAAAATATCATGTTACAGTGTGCGCGCACTGAGAGTAATAAGAGATTTTCTGAGAAGCTAGTAGATGGTCCGCAATTTGAAGACTTCCTCAAGAATGACGTTAAAGAGTACAATGGCAAATTAAAATTGGACATAGGTGAGTCAGGGCGGCTGAGATTGCCACCATGGTTAAAAACGGAGATACCTATGGGTAAGAGTTACAGTAGGATAAAGGCACAACTGAAGCAATTACGGCTAAGTACGGTCTGCGAGGAAGCCAGATGTCCTAATATTGGGGAGTGCTGGGGCGGAGGTAGTCATGGCACAGCAACAGCTACCATTATGGTTTGTATGATAAACCAAGAACTGAATACCAAAATAAGTTCGCTAGCAATCATATATTAATAGTCATGGAAATATCTCTATTTTTGTAAAACCATGATGTTAATTAGATCGTAACTTCGTGTATTCATTATATCGATTAGTGTATTCATTATATTCATATCGATCTATCTAGGACCATATAAAGTAAACAAATATTGATACATACCTTAAACCATATACTACTGAACTGCGCGTTGCACTCTTGATAGAGTAGCGCCAAGTTATAGGAAAGAGACAAACAGTTTGACACGCATGTGTGACAAGGTTTGGTTCCATATGGGACCTTGTCACACGCATGTCAAACTATGCTGCCCTTGTCCCTCAACTCAGCGCCAGTCCCCACCACTAACGCGCAGTCCAGTAGTATATGGTCTAAGGTACATACCAATATCTTTCATATTATTTGAATTTCTAATAAATGTTTTCTTTTTGCATCTGGCATTTTGTTATGTGAAAATGTCTCACAAAAATCTAAAGTTACCATTTAGCTATACGAATGGTATGCAGATTCACTTATCCATTGTGGTGTCAAAATAGTCAAATAGAAAGTTAAAGTTGTAGGAAATAAATAAACCATTGAAGATGTGTCGAGATAACAATGAGTCGATTCTTCAGTTGATGGGAGATACGTGCACTCGCGGCTGTCGTTTCTGCTCTGTCAAAACTGCACGTAAACCACCGCCGTTAGATGCAGAGGAGCCAATCAATACCGCTAGCGCGATAGTGGACTGGGGTTTGGATTATGTCGTTCTAACATCCGTGGATCGTGACGGTTAGTCATATAAATCAATAACACACACGCGTGTGTGTGTGTGTGTACAATTAAATTGCACTATTATAGATCCAAAATTCAACGCATTATTTATTATTTCAGATTTAAAGGATGGTGGAGCTAGCCATATCGCATCTACTGTCAAGGAAATAAAAAAGAGGTATCTTATCTGTGCAACTGTTTTTTTCCCTCTTATTTAATAGAACAAATGAGAAATAAAGTAACTAGTGCTCAAATCATATCGCGTTAGAAATACTTGTTTTATGATAGGAGCAGTATCCTAGTGGAATGTCTAGTGCCAGATTTCAGAGGCGATGAAGATTGTGTCGCTACGATTGTGAATTGTAATCTGGACGTGTTCGCGCATAACATTGAAACCGTAGAACGTTTAACCCCCTTTGTTCGCGATATGCGCGCTCGATATAGGTACGCTTAATGTATCTTTATAGTCCGATATATATTTATTAATACATATTTACGATTGTTAATTCGAATTAATTAGTCGTTTACTATATATAGGCAGTCGCTGGCCGTATTGAAAGCAGCTAAGAAGTTCAATCCCAATTTAATCACGAAATCGTCGATAATGCTGGGACTGGGCGAAACCAACCAGGAAGTCGAACAGACTCTGCAGGATCTAAGAGACGCTGGTGTGGATGCTGTAACATTGGGGCAGTACATGCAACCTACCAAAAGACACTTAAAAGTCGTCGAATATGTAACACCTCAGAAATTTAAAGCATGGGAAAATTTGGGAAATCAACTAGGCTTCCTGTATACCGCCAGCGGTCCATTAGTCCGGTCATCATATAAGGCCGGGGAATATTTCTTGGCAAATATACTAAAACAACGGAAGAAACAACAGATTGATAGTCACACTACATCGTGAATGGAAGCAATGTAGATGAATGTTTAGCCAAGATATATAATAGGAAATCAATATAAACAATATAATAAATTTACAGACATTGCGAAAAGAAAATCATCGCAATTTAGTGATAGAATGATCTGAACAATAACATATTACTATTAATGGATTGATAATAAATGTTTCGTCATCTATAGGTTTTTACTGTTGTTACAAAATTGAGATATTTAATCATAAAATGCAGCTTTACGTTATATATAAATTGAATGCAAATAAAATTTATATTACTACTATTTTAATCCGTATCCATGGCAATGGCAACTTGAGGATCTTGAGGACCTTCGTCGGCTGGCGGATCTTGCGGAGGTCTGGCGTCGTCTTGCACAGCTGGCTCAGTAGGCCTTCCACGTTTATCGTCCCCTTCAATTTGGGACAAATAAGCAGCCGTCGTAGTTTCGTCGAGAATAGTGAAATCGTAACCCTTTCCTACTATCCCAATTGATACATTCTGAAATATATAAGCGAGATGTAGTATCTTTTTCAAATCAAGATTAATTCTTAAAATTATGTATCAAGATTCTTATTATAAGTATTGTATCATTTGCTGCACATTTAGTAACATCATAAAGATTATATATACATGTATATATGTATGTATACAGAGCGTGTGTCCCAGAAGGAAAAGTTAATATTTTAGAAGGTGATGATATCGGTCATTTTAAACAAAAATGTTCATATGAACAAGGTTCCTATTCCTATTCCGAACAGTTTCCGAGATGGAGCTATTTAAATATACAGTTGCAAAATTACTGATAAGAAAGAGATACTACGTACTGTTTCCAATTTATTGTTCAAGTGACACATTTTTACAGAAGAATGGATACACGAGACGAACTGCTCGGTCAAATAATGGATACCATTGCATAAAAAATGCACTCAGACAAGCAACACGCCATGTTCTCACAAACGTTAATAAATGCATTGATGTTAATGATAGAATTTTAGAAAATTTATTGTAAGGTGTAAAAAAATGTGTCACTTGAATAATAAATCAGAAACAGTATATAGCATCTCTCTTATCAGTATTTTTACAACTATACATTCAAATAGCTCTATTTCGAAAGTTATTTAGAATAGAACACTCATTCATGATGGATCGATACCATCACCTCTCAAAATATTAAACCTTTCCTCTTGGGACATCCTATATATGTGTATATGTATATTAGCTAGATTATATGAAATGATACGTGACTCCGTGTGATCACGATTGACTCGCAGTCGACGAACCCAGGATTTGATCCCGACTTTCATCCTATGTCTTCATTTTATAAGTGCAAGGAACACGAAATGAGAGTACAGCTGGTCAAATCTACTTACCTTCACTGATAAATCGACTTCATTAGGTAGAGTATCACGTAACGCTCTAAGGCCATGCTTGACTAACTCATCAAGATCGCATGATAAAAATTCACTCAAGTGTTTCTCTAAGTATGTCCTTGCGCTTTGGGAACGTGATCCTATGGCCATCGCTTTACAGTCGAAATAATTTGCTGACGGACAAGTCTGATATATATGGGGCCCTTGATCCTATCAGAGATGATCATTGTTAGAGAGACATATTTGACATATAATGAATTATACGCTGTAATCTTCAAAAAATCCTTACATCATATCCAGCCACGAGTAAGCCAACGCCATATGGACGTCGATCATATCTTTGTGTACACGTTTGCATCTTATTTCCCAGAGATGTAATTAAACGACCCACAGGTAATGTATCATCGTGAGCATACTTGTAATTCAGACATTCGGTCCGCATATAACGGCTGCAAATATAAACATAATAATTTGTTATTCTAAGTTAACCTTTTTGCTAGTAATTACTACAATATACAGCAGAAAAATATAAATAAAATTTGAAACACAATTATAAATGTGTTTAAAAAAACTTGCACTTAAGGGGGGAGGGTCAAGTAAACGGCCGTTTTTTCCCGAATTTTTTTTAAACAGATGAAAGATTTATTAAATCAAAACAAAGTACATCATAATATTCATGATATATTATATTATTATGGTATATTATAAAATTTTTTTTGTCGAAAATTTTCAAAATGGCGGCGCAGCAGTTGCTTGAACTCGGCTCCTCAGATTTGCGCCGTGCAACGCTCAGGTCGCTCTAATTAACTGAAATAAAAAAACCAAAGTTTTTTTGTTAAAATGCGTTCATATGCTTTGCATGAACCTAAATTTAAAAAAAAATTAATAATAAACATTGTTTTTGCCATTTGTTTATAAAAGAAAAAGGTAACTTTTTTTTCAAAATGGTCCTGAATTTTTAATTTTGGATTTTTTTTAAATTTAGGTTCATGCAAAGCATATAAATGCATTTTAACAAAAAAACTTTGGTTTTTTTATTTCAGTTAATTAAGAGTGATCTGAGCGTTGCACGATGCAAATCCGAGGAGCCGACTTCAAGCAGCTGCTGCGCCGCCATTTTGAAATTTTTCGACATAAAAAAAATTTTATAATATACCAAATCATGAATATTATAATGTACTTTGTTCCAATTTAATAAATCTTTCCATTTGTTTAAAAAAAATTCAGAAAAAAACATCCGTTTACTTGACCCTCCCCCTTAAATATTTCAATTTTTAATACCATCAATATTTCTTATCAGTTTCAAATAACTTGAATAAAAGAAATCAATAAATTGGGTAAAACGTAACATACTTAGATTCCATCTACATCTAATATAATGACAATGTACTGGTGGCCAAGTAAAAGAGGTAAGAGATAATCAAGAATAGATTTTCTGCTATATTCTTTTATAAATAATAGAAACAGAGATTATGGAATGATAAAAACGAACAAACAGTATACCTCAATATTCTTGCATCAGCTGTTAAACCTGAAATGCTAATTCCCATGTGTTTGTCTATCGGTATAATTTTTTTCTGATGAGCTGATAGCTCTGATGATGCTCTCTTCAGCGCAATGAGAACGGCGTGTGTTTTGCTCTTAACACCTACGGTAGCTGATCCCAGTTTCACAGCTTCCATAGCATATTCCACTTGATGTAGTCGTCCTTGCGGACTCCATACTGTCACATCGCTATCATACTGATTGCGGAACTAAAAAATACATGCAATCGTCAAATTAATAGGAATCATATACATATTTCTATTCAATTAACATAAGTATTTGTATTCTTAAAAGGCTCTAATGATTAAAAATCAAACGTATGAAAAAGGGGCATAAAGCCGTAACAAGGTGTTTGTGTCAGTTTCTGTGTAGGTATATATACATATATTTTTCCAACTTTATTTAACTGCGCGCCGATTATTTGTCGGACTTGAAACACAGTTATTGTTGGAATTAAAACCCTTCCCTCCCCGGAATTAAATCGACTCGATTTAATTATCTAAAAACTGTAAAGAATTTATTGCGAAAAATATTACCTCAGTTTTAATTCCAACAATAACTGTGTTTCAAGTCCAATAAATAATCGGCGCGCAGTTAAATAAAGTTGAAAAAAAATAAAAAAAAAAATATATATATAAATTTATATATATATATATATATATATATATATATATATACACAACGTTTGATTTTTTATCTTTATATATATATATATATATACACACAGAAACTGACACGAACACCTTGTTACGGCTTTATGCCCCTTTTTCATACGTTTGATAAGTATTTGTGTCCTGTCTTTGACTAAGAATATCTTATTTCCATTTTATTTATAATTATATAAGTCAGTGACCAGTAAGATGTAACTTCCGGTCTGATTTTTGTGTTAATGCCTATTACCCTCTCCTTGTTTGCATCTTGACTTAAGGTACGATTTCATGGTACTGTCGTTCCCAAAACAGAGGCCAGTAGTCATGTGGTCTAATTTTATATTCAAGATCATCTTAAGTACGACCTCAAGACACAGTATAGCTATTTTATTGGTTGGATGGAATCTTAAGACTGTCAATAATCAGATTTAAAGCAATCTTAAGTACAAAATCCAACTATGAACATTGTACAAAGTGTCACGTCTTACAAGTAACACTACCCAAGTGTCACACACCAATTTTTCTGAAACTATGCACACATGTAAAACTTTGCAAAATATTTATCATGTTTTATTGTTATTTTTTTTATTTTTGATCATAAAGCATTTTAAGAGTAGAAACTACCCTCGAAATATTGACCTTCTCAACTCTATGTACGTTATCTCGAATAGTTTTTGCACCAGAATATTATCTCTAGGAGTTTTCAGGGTTTTCTCGACATTTTTTTCACAAAAAATCGACCAGCAACGTGCATGGCCTAAAAAGTTGTTATACATAGGATTGAGAAAGTCAGTATTTCGAGGGCAGTTTCTACCTTAAAACTCGACTCTTAAAACGCTTTATAGGCAAAAATAAAAAAACACGACACAAATATTTTTCAAAGTTCTACAAGTGTGCACAGTTTCAAAAAAATCGGCGTGACACCTGGGTAGTGTTACTTGTTACTTACATGCATCCAGCAATTCATTATCAAGATATAAGTTGAGAAGAAATGGACATTGACATAAAAGTCAGGTCAAAAACTGTGTCTATGCCAATGATATAATAGTTGTATATTTAACACATTCCATGTCACTTCCCAGGTAGCAAGTTTGTCGTCATTTTAACGTTAAAATGTTAAAAATGTTATTTTAACGTCTAAATGATGGCAATGTCAGTTTGCTACCAATGTTGTACCATCAATTGTCCATGCTGAATTATTTCCATTCAGGCTATTTCGATATTTTGAGTATAAGCAGATATGTTATCATAAAATATTTCATATCATTGATTGATACATTATATATACAATTAACATGTATAGAATAGTTATCATACCATATAGCCGTATACTATCGGTAGTATCTTAAATGGGCACTTGCGCACAAACCTCGATACATATTAATGTTTAATTATTCAATTTAAGGTGATCCTAAAGCCATGATCCTAGCCGGTTTTTTCAGTTTTTTTCTTAGCACTAATCTTTTAATTGGCTTTATAGAAATGCAA